ACACTATTCACCGATACAAAAATGAAAGTTGGTAAAAATCATAAAAATAACTAATAAAATTTTTAATTTAAGTAAATTCATTTATCACAGATAAAATCATTTACCTCCTATTTATCGTAACGAGATTTTCAAAAATCGACCTATAGAGTCAATAACGTAACTAATATCATAATCTCATATTCAAACATTCAGAACAACAACTTTCTCCTTTATCTGCATATTAGAATTTGTAGGTGTCCATAGGGATGTTTATATTACACGTGAACCTTTATTCAATATTTTTTACTAACCAGCCGTCATCATACCCCGTCTGGTATGAGCGCTAAAAAAGATTATCATTCCTCAATACTCTATCCGGTATGAGAGTGAAACAGGTTATCTCCATACCCCGTCCGGTATAAGCGTCAAAATACCAATTCTCGATACCTCGTCTGGTATGATGCAATGTTCACAGTAGGATTCCTTATGCACCCAGTCCGTCCACCATCTCCCAGGATATCTAGTAGAGTCACCATTTATTCATTCACTTAATCGAATAATTTTTCGTTTACAATTAATTTTTTGTTTCACGATTTAACTGTAAATCATGCAAAATAAGTAATACATTCATTAAGGAAATACAATTGAATCATCTTACCAATTCAAGCGTATTGTCATGTATTTAAAACTGTAAAATCAATCAATTAATTAAAACAAAATAAACAGTGATAAAATAATCGGTTCCGACTCCATTAGTAACCTGTGATTAATTATTGAGATTTTTTAAATTATATAAAATACCACATTATTTATAATTAAACTTTAATTCCATAATAACGAATAGGGTAAGGGATTTTTACCCGAATCAGTGTTTGAAACGCTAACCTTTCAGTTGCGCCTACTGGCAAGCCTTAGATTCCCTAAATTTTCTTTCGGATATTAAAACACGTTTCAAGTACCTAAAAATACCCTAAAAAATTTAAAATCAGTGTTAGAAATACTTTTTCGCCAATCTCGGGATTCCGGCACGGCGGCGCCACTATGCTACGGTGCCGGCACCGCCACCCGCGGTGGTAGTTTGCCTCGGGCTAGTAGTTTTCGGCCAGTTTTGTCCGGTTTCGGCCGATTTTGTACTCATTCATGTAAGAAAACACATTAAGATGTCTCGATTGACCCAAAAAAATCGAAAAACAGAAGTTTACTGGCGACGAGTTTTCCGGTGCGGTGGCTCCACCAACTCACCTTTCGCGGTTTGGTATTTTTCTTCGGTTAACCTGTGAAAAATAAAATGGTAAATACAAGGGTGAAAAAAATTGCACGAAACGGGAATCGGGAATGATCTCATCGGAGGTAATTTTTTATTTTTTCTGCGGCAGTGCCACTAGGCTTTACCCACAATTTCTGGCCCATTCGCCAGTCTTTTGGCTCTGATTTTACCATGAGGGTGTTCAAAATCAAATTTCAAGTGATTAGGAGAATTTTTACCTTTTTTAGTAGTCGGAGGTGGCTCCGACGCGACAGCGGGCGGCAGTCGACTCCCTTCTCGGCGACTGGTTCTTCTTCTCCAGTCGGGGGGGCTGACAGCTAGGGTTAGGGTTTGGTGTGAAGTGAGGTATTTATATCCGTCTCCTTTTAATATAGTTCGTCCATTGTGTTTGATTTGAACTATCTGATCGCGTTTAAATATAAAATGAATATAGATTGTTCATCGTGATTTGATCTAAACTGTACGATCGCATTTAAAGAGAGAATGAATCTATACCGTTCGTCGTGTTTAATCGCGACCGTCTGATCATGCCTGAGGAGGAAACAGATCCGGACCGTCCATGCGCGCAGGAATAAATCTAGATCGTTCGATAGCGGGCATGCGAATCGCCAGCATGGCCTCCCGCGTGGCACCGTGTCAGCGTGCCTTATCACACGACGCGCTCCGGTTCGTCGGAGCTACTGACTGTGCGGTCATACATGATACATTTTTCTTAAATTATGTTTGTTTTCGATTATTTTTTCAAAAACATTTCAAGAACCTAAATTTTCACTCATTTTTTTTAAAATTGTTTTCAATTTCATACTCTACTTATTTTTTCTAATTTTTATATTAAATAAAAATTAATAAATTAAAAAAAAATAAAGTTTATACATTAATTTAATTTAAAAAAAAAATTAATTAAAGATATTACAAAAAATAGATGTCTCTCAATTATTACATAAACTAAGGCTAGAATAAATTCAAAAATTCTAGAAAATTTAATATTTTATTAATTAAAAGAGTATACAATTTTTTACTAAAATTATTTATAAGATCTTATATAGAATTAAAATAATATATTTTAAATTTTATTAATTTTAACAAAAATTAAAATAGTTCTAAGACAAAATTTTATATAACATCAATTTTTTATCATTTAAATATAACTTGTACTAATTTTTATTTCAACTAATTATAGATTTATAAACAAATTCTATGACATTTAATTTTTAAAAAAAGTATAAATTTGAATGTACTTTGATTATAAATTTTAAAACATTTTTTTATTTACATGGGTAAACTTGTGAATTTTACCGGTCGGTAGCAGGTCGAGGCTTTTACGTCAACAGGTCACCTACTGAACAAACCACAAAAATAGGAAACTAGAAAATTACACCAATCTTTCGTTTTTTTTTTTTCTGAATTTTTTTAATTGACCAATGGAAATCTCTTTTAGATTTTCGTGTCTTCTGACTGCAAATTTGTTTATCTCTACCTTGCAAAATTCGTTATAAGGACAGTAAAAAGATGCACGCTCACGTCTCCGTGTAAAAAAATAAAATAAATTATTAAAATTATAAATATATTATTTAGAGTCTATTACTATATTAATTAAGGGGATTATTATATTTTTAATAATTTAAAATTTTTATTCTTATTAACATTCATAATAATAATATTATTATTAGTTTATTATTCTTATTATAATTAATATTTTTCGTTTATTATTTTTTGCTTTAATTCTATTTTGTTCACAAAAATATGCAGATAAATATAAAATAATTATCTTATAATACTTATAAAACCCATATTATTTTGGATTTATAATACTTGTATATAATTTAAGCCCATTTTGTAATACATACTAAAAAATAATAATACAACAGATGGCAGTCGGTCTTCATCAGCAGAGCCACCGGAACCGTAGCTCACATCTCAGTCGAGGCGTATACATATCAAAAAGACGATAATAACCCTCTGCCTATTGAGGAGTAACCGATGAGCAGAAGGATAAATGTGTAATTAGCAGCCCAATTATCAGCGTCTACTATTTTAATTGACAAAAATACCCTTCAAAGAAACTCGTCATACATTTTTAACTCTTAAGGGTATTTTCGTAAATTACGGACCTCCTTCCTTGTTCGTACACGAAAGTCTACGTCCCCGGTATTTGTACAAAAACTATCTTCAAAATTCAAAACAAAAAAAAAAAGCGAGAAAACTCAGATCCATACAGAAGAACAGAATCAATCACCAGAATCATCATCACCGCCGAAGATCGAAACACGATAATAAAGCAAGAACAGAATCAAAACAAGGAAAAGCGCGACTCCGACTGGTGACCCGCTAACCCGATGGATAGTATCGGGTTCGCCGGTGGAGAAAATGGCGGAGACGAAAGAGCCACGATCTGAGGAGAGAAACTGGATGGTTAAGAGAAGAAGAATGGGGAGAAGAAGAAGACCTACCGGACTCAAGAGTTCCGAGATTGCTTCGGTTATGGCTTCTCCTTGGTCTCCGAGGAAGAAAGGAACCAGAACCACTACGCCGACCACCACCGCGAGCAGCACCCCGTGTGGTGGGCCGCCGCCATGGGCGTGTCTCTGATCTTCGAGCATCTGGTGAATGTGTTTGTTAAGCTGTTTGGGTTGTTATGGTGGAGAAGATGGTGGGGTTTAAAATATGAGGAAGAGAGACGCGTCTGTTTGAAATTTAGACTCGTCTTTTTGGAAATTGCTTAGTATTATTTTATTTATTTAAAATAAAAAAATTGAAATAATTTTCCCCCCTTAAAATTTATATATTTTATTAATTAAATAAAAATTTACATTAATTATAATATAGTTTTTCAATAAAAACATACAATTTTTTTTAAAAAAAATAAAGTAATAATTATGTAACTGAGAAATAACTTATATGTATTTATGGAAATATATATATTTAAAAAAAATTATATTCATGTACTCAGATCTCAAATGCTTTTTTTTCTAAATAAATTAATTGTTTATAAATACAACTGTCATATTGATCCTTATATATGTATATATTTTGGCTTGTTATATATATATATATATTTAGGGTTAATCATGTTTTCTTATGATTTATATAATCATTTTTTTTTTTAATATGGACGAGCAGCACGATAAATGGGAGCATGAATCTGACATGTGACAAGATCAAGTTAGTTATTTTATAATCGTCATATATATATATATATCTAAAATAATATCATATTTATTTATTTTTTATATACTTATACTATTTAGTTATAATACATATATATAATGTCGATAGAAATATATTTTTACGTGAAATGGTAATTATTCTATTGAAACCATTCATTCAACATGTACATATAAACAATGTTTTTTCTTCTTTTATATTATATATGTGTGAATATATAATTCTAATTTATTTTTTAAAGATTATATTAAAATTTAAAATTCAAATAGAGAAGTGTGATGGATCTACACTTCTCCACCCTTCTTGCTTATTGGACTAGGTATTTAATATTAATATTATAGATTTTGTTTTAAATATTTCCTCTACTTTCAAATAAATTATCAATATTTAATTTATTTATCATATGTCATTTAATTTGTTATTTTTTTAATTTACATATAAACAAGTATATAAATATATAAAACACAAAACTTAGTTCTATATGTGGTACGTCATTTTTTATATAAGGGATTGTATATTTAAGTTTTATTGTATTTTTGTTTATGTTATTATTTAGATATTATTAATATTTTATTATGATTTGTAATATCAATATCCGAGTTATTTTTTTTATTAAATTATTTTATTAAAAAATTATTTTATTTTATTATTTTTATTTAATTAAAATTTTGAAAAAATAAATAAATTAGAGATGAAATTGAAATAATTTAAAAAAAAAAGGTAAAAATTAGAGTTCGGATGATATTTTTAAAAGAAAAAAATTAGAAATAGGGAGGTCAAAATATAAAAAAAAAAAAAGTTCAGACGCGTAGAATTGCTCAGTCAACAGTCTCGATGAAACGAAACAAGCTGCGTGGCAAGTCACACTGGCGATCTGCGTGCCCCCCGATTGGACGGTCCAAGATCGATCACGCGCGTGGACGACTCGAATTCGTTTCTCCTTTAGACGTGATTGGACGACCGAGATCAGTTGTGATGAATAGTATATATTCGTTTCTTCATTAAGTACGATCAGACGGACGAGACTGATGCGATCAGATGGACGAGATCGATCGTTATGGACAGTCCAAATCAACGCGGAATGGGTATAAATATTTCACATTACACGGGAACCTAAACCCTAATCATCAGCCCCTACCAAAGAAGGAGGTTGACCGCTGACTGCGGCCGTATTGGAGCCACTGTCGGCAGCCAAAAAAGGTAAAAAAAATTTCATATCTGCTCGAAATTCGATTTCAAGTACCCCTGTACCCAAATCAGAGTAAGATGAACGGCGGGTGAGTTGAAAACTATGTGCAAAACATGATGGAGTCGCCGCAACCAAAATTTTAAAATTCCTATGATGAGCCCCTTTTTTATTCTCGTTTTACGTAATTTTTTTTATCATTGTGCTCACCGTCTTTTTCTATGTAGGTTAGCTGAAAAAAGAATCTCAGTTACAAAGGAGGACCAATGGAGTTACCGCATCCGGAGGTTCTCCTCCACTGGCAGGTTCCATTTTTATGATTTTTGAGCCAACCGAGGCCCCTAACATGTTCTTCTGTAGCAATACGGTCAAAATCGACCAAAACTGACCAAAATAGAACAAAATCATCCAGGCCGAGGTGAACGGCCACCTTGAGCAGCGGAGCCAGTGCCGGATCATGGTGACACTGCCATGTAGAACCTTAAAATTGGTCTGAATGAGTTTTGAATACATGATTTTAAATTTTTGGAGTATTTTTAGGTATGTGGCGAGTATTTTGAACTCTACAAGAAAGATTCAGAGAATCCGATACCTATTAGGAGACATAATAGACGGTTCGATGTCTCGAAATACTGACTCGGGTAAGGATTCCTCACCCTATTATTCGTTACGGTAAATTGAGGTCTAACGATGTAAAATTTTGTATTTTCATAAAAAGTTAGAGAACTCTAAAAATAATTATAAGTTACTAGTGGAGTCGGAATTCGGTTAGTTCACAATTATCTTGATTTTTCGTTTATTTTTTTTACTGTCCTACTTGCTTGACTGATCCACCGTATGATTAAAATTATTACTTTTAATTATTTTTTCATTTATTAATTGTTTGATCGTGATCTTTATCTGATTTATTGATTTGAAATAAAGACCCTAATTACGTTTCTTAATTGTTGAAGTACGAAATCATATTGTTTGTTTAAATGTCGTTTGATTGATATATGAATATACAATGAGATATTGGTATACACTTATTAGTTGTTTGTTGATGAAAATTTGTATGTGAAAGATTTACTGGGTATCCGGAGAAAGGGCAATCGGGCCCAGTACAATAGGAACTCTACCGTGGACGTTACCTCAGTCGGACGGAACTGAAAAGTCCCTTATCAGAAAAGTTTAGGAGATATAGTTCACCCTCATACCGGATGAGGTATCGAAACGATGAAATGTTTGGCGCCCATATGGCGACAGCCGGTTAATTGTTTAAATTGGATATCAAGTTCAAGGGTAGGGGAACCCCCCTATGAACCTCCAGGGATACCAGTAAGTAGATAAGAAATGAAAACTATAGTTTCTTGTTCTCTTATGCATGAAAGTGAAAAGTTGCATTGATATAAGTCTTTATATGTTGTTTTTGAAAAATTCGTTATGGTAAGTATTAAACAAACGTTTTCAAGTTTAAATATATTTAAATAAAGTAAGAGCTTCATCAGTTTTTTTTATACCAATCTTTATTTTTCGTATATGTAATTAATATGATATTCTTATTGGGTTAGTATAACTTATCATTTCATTAACTATTTTAGATTAAGATGATCAATCTCCAAATCCCGATCAGTAAGAAGGTTATGAGTAATTCATTATCCGGACTCTCTTCAAGTGCTAGTGAATGTTGTTTTAAAATACTTAATTATTCGCTTTTCGTTTTATTTCTTTAATTACCATTTTTTTTTTTATAATGGACATTCTCGTAACGTTATTGGACATTCAAAATTATTATATAAGAAATGCAAACTCTAACTCTATTAATTGTTTTCGCATTTAATTTATGAATTTATTTTCAGTTAAGTTATTGACCTTTACATGATTGATATATGTGTATCATCTAATAAATAAATATATATAATTAATGTTTTTTTGCATGTTTTAATATATGTATATAATTATTTTGGTTGTAGTTTAATTTCATATTTTTAATTCATAAGTTTTTTAAAAATAAGAAACAAAATATATTTAGTTAATATATTTTTATTTAACTTATAACTTTATAGAAATAACGAATATTTTTTAAAAAATAGTTAAAAGTTAAAAAAAAATTGTCAAAATGACTAAATAATATATATAATAAAGTTCAAAAATAATTTCTAAATGGGATATTTTAATCAAAAGTATAAAAGACAAAATTTTAAAAGAAGTAAAAAAAAAAAGTTTTTCTTAATCTTCATTTTGGACTTATAAGTAATTAACTTATTATCAAACTTTATCAAAGCATAGTAGTTTTACCTCATCATCATGATCATGGAAGACTTTTATATTATAAAATTTTTCCACTTTAATTTAATAAAAATATTAGACACAATTATATAACTAATAAAACAGCAAAAAATTAGTAACAAAATATAACAAAATATTTTGAAACTCAATTCATATCCAATTTTTACGATATTATGACAAAATATAATTAGCTGTAGGTTTATCAATCTTATATTCGTGTAAAAATTGAATTCCGAGACAACTATAAAAGTAAAAATTATTAAATTCTTCAAAATATCTTGTTTTACAATTCAATCAAAAGACGAACGGATTCGATATAAGAAAGTTATTTTTTTTAAAAAAAAAAAAAAGGATTTGAAGGAAAAAGTAAAGAGAGAAGAATTTGCTAAAGACCCAAAAGGGTAAGCAACTTTAATTTAGTCAATAAAGCCATTAAAGAGTGTTTCGAATTTTGGGTAAGTAGCCAAACAGATGAGCTTCATTATTATTCATTTCCAAAGACTTTTTCATGGCATAAACATGGTGGTGTCATATTATTACATTCAAGATCCGACAAATGTATATATATATATATTAAGAAAATTAAAATTAGTGTTTACAAATACATATATATGTATATATATTTCTAATTACCTAATATAACATTTTAAAATAATACATTTTTAAATTGTGACTTAACAATTAAAAAATCAACGTTTATAATTAACATTCTCGTGTTATGATAGCACAAAAAGCTTTTTTTCATGTACATATTGGGCCTACTAATCGGAGACCTTGACTCAACACTTTACTTACCATTAAAAAGTAATGTTACACTTATCAATGATCTTTTTCAAGAATTATAAAATTTATTTCATAATTAATTATTTTATTTTATAGTTTTTTAGCATTAATAATTTCATTTATTAATTAAAAAATATATATAATAAACAAAATTTATATGTATATTAATAATAATATAATCTCTTAACGAATAGATATACTTGAATTATGATACAATCCAAAAAAAAAAAAACATAATAAGAATATTCTGTTTATTAAAAAAGATTTTCTGAATACTTAAACCAAAAATAATTAAAATATTGACCAACGTCGAAGTTTTTAACCCTAGTTGGGATTAGTTGCTCTTCTCATTATGAGTGAGAGGGTAATAGAAATTCATATCCTTATTAAAAATAATTGAAATATCAGCAGTCGACTCAAAAAATAATTTATCGAATTCAATAATTTTAATTAATACATATTTTCAATAATTAAATAATATTTTAAAATAAAGTTAGTTCGTATTAATACAAAATAATATAATAACATGATATATATATATATATATATATATTTGGTTAGGAGGCTCTAAATTATGATAATTTAACAACAAAATATAATTATTATTACTCAATTTGTGGATTTTCATAAACTTTTTTTCATATAAAGACCTCTGCATCTTCTAACTTAGTCATGTCTTGGTCCGGCGCCGTTTCATCTAATGGACTATT